TTTGGTGAACGAGTTGTAAGAGAGGGAGCGAAGACCATGCGCTGTGGGGATAACAAAAGCAGGACTGGAGGCCGGAGCTGGACACGTGTCGAAGAACTTGCGAAGAGCCTGAACTGGACATAAGGCATGAGACGGTATGGAAACTAAGGGAATGAGGAGCGTCCGCTCGCGAAATTGGTTGACTTTGGACCATTTGACAGAAACGATAAGGCCCCACGAAGTGAAGTAAAAGTCGGAGCGTGAAAGGTGCTTGTTCGGTGAAAACTGCGAGTGACTTGGAGGGATGATATTTGACTTGCGAAAGAAGCAGAAGAAACCAAGAAGGAAAGCCGCCCAGAGAGCGAGGTGAAGTGGCAGGGAGAGGTCCATGACATCACGAAGAGCCAAGAGAATAGTCGGTGTGATCGGGAGCTTGCGTTTAACCGACGCGGAGAGAAGACGTTTCAGGCCTCGTAGCGTAAGTTGCACGCGACAATGGGAGATAGGAGGAGGTGGGTAGTCGAACATGACGTGGAGCCAGCGGAGACCATCCAAATAGTTAGCGATGGACGAATACTTTAGTGTGCGGCTCAGGTACACACAGTAGCGACAAAGGTTCCTAACTGAAATAGGGAATGGGGACGTCTGAAGCAGGCGGCAAAATCGGAGGTATTTCAGGGCTTGAGACTTGCGAGTGGCGAGAGTGGAGGAGGCATAAGCGTTGGAAATAGCCAAGGCAACGGCGTCGTCGAGAGAATCGCCAACATCTAGGAGAGAAGGAGAAGGGGGCCCAATTAGACCACATATAGCAAAGGCGGTATTCAGGGGGTATAGATTTCTGTAACACGAGATAAGCGGTCGGCAAAGACGTTTGCGAGGCCAGTAATATGGCGAGAAGTCAGGCGAAAGTTGTAGATGGCTGATAACCAGAATATTTCACGTAACCAGTCCATAGCAGTAGGGTTTTTGCACGAACCCTTATTCAGGAAAGCCATGGCCTGTGTATTATCTGTGTGTAAACAAACGTGACAGTTCGCCCAATGCGGAGACCACCTACGGATTGCTTGTAACGCCGCGTACAGTTCAAGGTAGTTTATGTTCGTTTTGAGGGGGAACGGAATTTCGTGACCAGTCGTGTGAACCCAATTTCCGGACATGCGAAGACTCGGGAGCACCGAGTTGTCGGAGGACCAGACGCCAGCAAGCCAATGAGATCGCCAGTGAGCACCAAAACCCGAAAGGGACGCATCGGTGTAAGCATGTTCAACAATAGGCGAGTAGTAAATGTTAATAGCCTTGCCGTTAAACACACGACAAAAGTTTAGCCACCAACAGAAGTCCTTTCGGAGGTCTGAAGTAATACGAGCTTTATAAAAGGGGCGTTTCAAGCGAATAATAAAGTCAAGAACGCGACGCAAAAAGGTGCGCCCCCCTTTAACGACTTTAGCTAGAAAGTTCATGAGCCCGGCGACTCGCTGTAAGTCCCGCTTGGAAGCTTTGCGATGAGAAATGAGGAAAGTGAGTTGATCTTCTAAGGCTGAAATCTTGTCCTCGGGGACAAAGGCCTGCATAGCAATTGAATCGAGAATAATTCCGAGGAATTTGACACTTTGTGAGGGGCCAGAGAGTTTAGACCAATTGACTTGAAAACCGAGGGAGTGGAGAAGATGAATAAGGGTTAGTTGTGCACGAAGGCACTCTTCGCGTGAAGAAGCAACAATGAGAAAATCGTCCAAATAATTAACAATGTTACTGAAGCCGTTTCGAGCCATCATACGCGTGAGCGCACAGGAAATCCGGTGAAAAATACTTGGCGCATTTTTGAGACCAAAACAAAGAATATTGTCTGTAAAGTATTTGTAAGAACCATTAAAAGCCCAGCGGAATCCTTGAAGTGTGCGATGAGGGGGATAAACGGGAACCCATCGATAGGCAGATTTAATGTCAACTGTGGCGAAGAAGCAGTCTGGGCGCATGAGAGCAATGGCATCATCAATAGATTTGTAGCGGTAAGATTCACAGGATATATAGTCATTGACAGAGTTATTGCAGTTATTGCAGTGTAATTGCATCCGCCACAGTTATTAGAATCTTCGTTCCATTTGTAACAGTGTTTTCCGAAAGACTTGGAGCTGCCAGCTTGAGAATTACTTGAGCGAATGCGACTGCGATCTCGCGGCCGAACGTTAGGTGCTTTTACTGCCGAGGAGTCGAAGTGGTGGGCTTGAAGATCGTTGAGAGAGGTATGATCGTCGTAAGCGGCCTCTCCACGCGCAACCATGCCACGAAACTCGTCGTCAAATTGGAGAATAGCCGTGGTAGAAAACGCGATGGCCTTTTTGGACAGGAATTTCAAGTAACGGCAGAGCTGCTGAGCCTGGGCGTGTTCACCACTTTGTAACAAACCATCCAGGATCGAAAAGTAACCAGCAGTAAACTCCGAGTAGGTCAAATCAAGAGGGTTGACCTTGGAATCTGACTTGCCGCTACGCGGTTTTATGTAGATAGCCTCGTGGGCACGTGGTATTGATTTTGAGGGCTTACCTTCCCCAGTCTTGGTCGATTCGGTAGGGGCGTCCTTTTGTTGGGCTAGGGCCAAGATAGACGATTCTAGTACGTCGAGATCATTGGCCATTTGGTCTGCATCCTTAGTTGTGGACGTTGGTACAGGTGGAGGCAGAGGCGGAGGTGACTGAGACTTTAGAACAGCTTTCCTCAGTAGACAGCGTTGTGCAGAGGATAAAGAGAAACTCGCAATAACATCGGCCGTCATGGCCCTTATAGCTTGCATAGAGACGAATTCTTCAGTAATAAGTGCTTTGACGGTGTGGCCCGTAAAGCCATGGGCCTCGCACCACGCTTGCGTTTCCTCGTCCATGATTCTCAAAAATCAAGAACTAGATCGAGCTGGCGTAGAGCGCGAGGCGAACCGAGACTGATTGACCCGTGGCGCGGCGGGTTAGTGAATGTTACACAATCAAACGGAAGTGCGTCACTTAAGTGTCAATTATACCCAGATAAACCTAGTCGTTTTATCTTAATCATAATTACTTATCAGGACGGGGCTTAGCGTTCTGCACACAGTCCATGTGCATTTTAAGGAAGTTAAACCAGTTTGAAAAAAGATGACTAGGCAAAGTTTATTTTTAAATTTAAGTTACATTATCTTCGATAACAACTGTGTGAGAGTACTAAAACGTGCACGCAGTTGAACACAGAGTTTGGTACAGACGATAATACGGAGCAGTTTAAACTCCACTCTACAGATGCACACAAGAGAAAAAGAATAATAATAAGAAGAAAATTGTATAAGAAGGATTCGAGTATTGACATCTTGACACAATATAACATTTTCTTGATTACTTCTTGTTTCTTCTTTTGGTTTCTTGGCTTTTTAAATTTTGCTGTTAGTACGACCAGCTCTTCTCACAGTTTTGTTTTTTGAAAGATATATCCCTTTAGCTTACCCGTAAGGTTTCAGCTTTTAAATCTTGCAGTTTCTTTGCTGATTTGTATCGTTTTGCAGCGATTCAGCTGGGACTAATGTTTGTGTGTTTGCCAAAAAGTTCCCAGCCTCGCAATCATGCTGTGAAGGCTCTCGTCTCAGGGCCGTCGGGGAATACGAATATCGTCTATTAACAATCGCTTATGTCGCAGATGAGCAGTAATATGTTCCAAAAGCTTAGAAAATTCTTCCAAGAACAACGATGTTGACAAGCCAGGTGGTCGATAGATAAGCAGAATTCTTACACGGCGCACAATGCGCGGGTGACAATCCATTAATTCAAAAGAGTGATATTGGTCTGTGAGAGAGGTGTTTAAACGATTGCTGTTCTTAAATATAATTAAGAATTTGTTCATGCTTAGCGTGCGTATATCGAGTTATGGATGCACACGGGAAGTTTGGAGAGCACGAAAGATGCGTAAGAGTTGCACGAGGCGACAGCCGAGTGCAACTCTTACGCATCTTTCGTGCTCTCCAAACCTCCCAAGTGCATCCATAACTCGATATACGCACAGCTAAAAGCATGAGCAGATTCTTTTATTACATAGCTGACAAAAATGCTTGTTTTTTGATTAACTGCAAAATTCTCGCAACGCGCGACACAATAACAAACGGTTCCATTGGCTGATTGCGAACACGCCACAATCGTCTAGTTTGAATGAATGATTCTTTCTGTAAAAGTGAGAAAGAAAATTTGCTTCTTTATTCGTTAACGATCAACGGAAACTAAGCAGAAACAAAGGTAAAAGAGTCTTAAAGTTCACCTAAAGTTAAAATGCTAACATGTTCGTAACAGGTCGTTGAGTATGGTTTGGATTTGCTGAAAAGATGTTTACGTTTTGCTCGGCGAAATCCAGAAAACATGTTTTTGGGGAAGACGACTGTCATCCTTCTTTAAAGTTACATTCATTTACGAACATTGGCTGGTCATTACGACAGGAGACCTGGCAGCAGTTGTTTTTGTGAGTAATAAATTTATGTCTTCTTGTGTAATTTGTGTTGTTATTGCGAGAGAAATTCTACTTCAGTCGGATTGTCCGGAGATAACAAAAGTGCATAACAAATTTAAAAACAACGATAAAAACGGAAATTTTACCTTTAAATGTTGTTGATGATCAGTTGGTGTCTGTTCTGTTCCCAGCGAATGTCTTTCGGCCAAAATTTGCTACAGCTGGTCTTCCGACAAATTTGCGAAACGCACAACTTGCGAGTTTTTTTTAATTCGGCTTTATTTTTGCTGCTTGTTGGATCAGGACCTAAAAGGTCAATGCCGATAGAAAAATTGGGCAGTTCTTCGTTGGTTTCTTCCATATTTTAAAAAGAAGGAAAACTGCACTGCAGCTTAAAAGACGACAACTTTGCAGCCTGGTAAAAAAAAAACGCTCACGTCATCTACGCACTGGCGTGCGTAAATAAAGATTTTGTTCATAGCGGCTCAATAGGACTTGTATAGGGCAAGGACGCGCGCTATGTTATAATTCCAAATTAACTCCACCACCAGCAGAATGAGATTTTGGTACATGTATCACTCTATATCCTGTAGGACATAAGGTACCAATTTCAACAGAAAGGACGAAGCCATGTTTCAGTCATCGCGAGTATATTGATATCATTGTCAACAATAAAGTCTTTCGATTCACGGCCATGGCTTTGTTTCTAACTGATCTAGCGTTGAGAGACAAACATGTGGATTCTTTGATGTGAAACACAAAGGCGGCAATAAACACGGTTTTCGTGCTACAGTGATCAGGTTAGCAGAATTAGCATATTCAAAAAGATAAGGATGGTTAAACTGTATGTGATTCTCAAATCTCTGAGTTACCGTAAAATTCCGAAAATAAGCCCCGGGGCTTATATCTTTCAAAGGCCCTTTTTGAGGGGCTTGATTTTGGAGGGGCTTATATTTGGAGGGGCTTATCTACGGAGAGAAATTTGCCTTTCAAAAACGATCGGGCTAGCCATATAGTTGGAAGGAAATTTACCGTTTTTGCTTTGTTTTGCTTTGTATTTGGGGGCAATTTCCAAGTACATGCCCCCCGGGCTTATATGGCTTATATTCGGAGGTGCGATTTAAAGGAGGTTTTTTTGCGTTACGAGTTTGGGGGGCTTATATTTGGGGGGTATTTTACATGGAGGGGCTTATTTTCGGAATTTTACGATTAACGAGTAGGAATACGAAACGATGAAGAAATAGTTTTTGATTGAACGGAGTCCTGTCTTTCAGCAGGAGGGCCAGGATTAAGCTCGACGTTGAAAGAGGCATCATCATTTGGATAGTACCGTAACCTAGATTTAGTACATTTACGACGCAACGGATCGTTGAACATCTTTTTTTTTCCGGCCCAGACTTTTTCTGTTGACGTTAGGCTAAAAATTTCATGTGAATAGTCAGAGATTGTGCTGAATTTAACAACACAGATATATTACATGTAAGCTTCATCGAACTGTCATTAAGCATCATACTTGGCTAGTGCAGGCGTATATCTTTTTATTGGCTGGTTTTGACGCTTGTAGAAAGAAGGAAGTATTTTAAAGTTAAGTTAAAAACAACCTGAATTGTACAGCGTTTCGCTGGTAGGCGACGTTGGCCAATACCACTTTTTGCATTTCTGGGACTCAGAAATGCAAAACCCTCCCCTATGATTTTCTGGAGACTTCCCCCTTCTCTTTCCCCAGAGTCTGTAGGGATAAACGTCAGTACGCTCCTACAGTCAAGTCACGTGACTCCAGAACGAAAGGCTCGGTCCCTTTTTTGGCGCAAACCCAGTTCGCACGCGCTCGCGAGGAATGTAAGAATTGTCTGAGGAGAACTAGCAAGCTACAGCACTGATCGAGTTCAGTGGTGAGCGCTGGTGTCGAAAATGACCAATGAAACTGAACCAAAACAACGCGAATGTCAAAAGCTGTTTGTTTGTATGATGTCTTTCTCTCCAATTATAATTATGGCCATTTGCTTTGCCGTTTGGAGACCCATTTTAGTACCGTTTCCTCTCAAAGTTGTGAAGATGCTTGCTCTACATATTAGTGATGATAATCAGAGGCGTTTGGACAACGAACTGCTGCTTTTAGAAACGGAATGGAAATTGTATCAAATGGAGAAACAATTTGGCCAACAGCGGTGTAACAAGAATGAAGACAGGTCAAGAAAAGATGTTTCGTGGCTAACTGTCATGGTCAGTGATGACTTTGTGGTTCCGGCTTTGGTTCTTGGTCACTCAATTCAGACATTTTCTTGTTACAAGACTATGATTGCGCTTATATCAGGAAATGTGAGTAAAGATACACAAAAGGCGCTTCAGAACGTCGGCTGGGAAACTCGTTTGGTAGAAGAAATGGATTGCAACTGGATGGATGCTAAAGTTGGTGGAGATCGAAATAGCGGACTTTTTGGAAGACCTCGAGGACACAGAATTAAGGGAACTCACACAAGATTTTACGCGTGGAACTACACAGAGTTTACTAAAATTATTTACGTTGACGCTGATTACATATTGCTGACCAATATTGATGAACTGTTTCAAATCCCGGAACATTTTGCCGCCGTCCCTTGCTCCAGACCTGGTGTCGTGGACCTTTGTTTCAATGCAGGCCTTCTGGTGATCAAGCCAGATTTTAAAACCTACCAAAGAATCATGAACCTTTGGCGGGAAACAACAGAAAAAGACACCTGCCCAAATGATCAGGTCTTGCTCAATGATTTTTATACACCCGGTGGCTGGAAAGCAATTCCCTACGCTTATAATATTAGGCGATTTGTCTTTAGACCTTTGAAATCATTCCACTACGCCTGCTGCCGCCCTCAAAAGCCATGGATCGGAGAATGTCGACCAAGTAGAAAAGAGGCCAATGCGTTTGCCGGTCCAATCATAACTGTCGATGATATGGCGTTAGTATTCTGGAAGAACTTGTATGAGGTTCTACAAAAGTACGACTTAGAGGATTGGTGGAGATCTACATCGTTCTTCAGGCCAACACAGGAGTTCCCAGTTGTTTCAAATTACACTTGCCGGACTTAATGATTGAATAATCTCGGCTTAGTCCTATAAAGGATATTATAACATAGCTAGAAAATTCGCCTAATCAAATTCAATAGCGCAAGCGTGCTTCATATTCCTATTCTCGGTTTTACACGGCATCCTTGAAAATCAGCTTTTTTTTTGTAAATAGCTAGGTAGTTAAAATTTAATGAATATATATTTTTAATCAGAGGTAGTTTAGTTAGGTATAATAGATCTTAGTTTTTTTGTATATGCTGAAGGAATTTTAACCGTGTTTAAAATCAGGTCTATGCAGTAGTTTATATGCGAGATATTCGGAAAACGTTTTACCCAAATTTATAAAGCTTTGTATAGAGCCGCCATGTTTGTGTCCCTTTCAGGGGCACAAATATTGCTGCCGGAAACCAACAGAAACATCTGTTTTTGAGTTTTCCTACTTATGCGTGAATTCTTCGCTTGAGGAACTCATAAAGATTAAAGCAATATTTATTCTAAGATAAGGAATGCTTAGATAGCAAAATCTCCAAAAATCCGTAATGTTTTTAACCCACTTAAGAGCTTTCCCGGCCGCCAGTCAAATGCTGCGTCACGCAAAAGCCTGGAAATTCAAGCGTCCTGTATCACAAAACAAAGAACCCTTTTGAACCGAAAATTTGTTTGTATAAAGGTTTTAAGGTGCTCTAATATCACATGAAAGTAGAAACTCAGAAGAAGCGATAGTTTCTTAATTTGAATTTTGGTGACCTCGTGTGAAAACCAAGAATTGAGCACACTGATGACGTCAATAAACTGTTAGTAGGGACCTTTAGCATCAGGTTTTTCGTGGGAAACGGCAAACCGCAAACCGCAAAATGGGACGTGACCACGGCCGTGCGGTCACGTTTGCAGTTTGCAGATCACGTTTGAACCGCAGGAAGGGCTTCCAGCGGTAAGTGATTTACGGCAAGGTTTTTTGCCACCAAAAATTGCACAGCCTCGCGTTTAAAGGTATGAACTAGGGTTTTGTATCCGTTTGCAATGTGTTTGTTGGATTTTTGATCTCGAATCAATGAATTATTGCTGATTTTTGGGCGATTAAAGTGATGCACTTCGACTTGATAAAAACAACATGGCGGCCATAAACAATGAATGCGTAGTTCAAATCAATTCTATATTCTTTCTGCCGTACTAACAATGGACAGTATTCTGTTCCAATCCAGAGTTAAATTTTTTTTCTATCTTGTTACTAAATTCATAACTTAACTCAGTCTCTGTTTGGTTCCTTTTTTTAAACGTATCACTACGCGAATATCATTTTATTTTGCTTATTTCTTTTAGACTGGGGAGCTCAGGCTTCATAAAGCCTTCTGGTTTCTTCTGAGCTCCCTTGCAACCTTACAATTCCTATATGTATTCTTGTATTGTATTGTATTTTGGCGAAATAAAAGTGAACTGAACTGAACTGAACAAATCGAACTGAACGCCTTGCTAAAGTTTGAAATCTCGGCAACGCGAAACTGCAAACGCGTAACTGCGGTTTGCACGGGGGGTGACAGCTCTAACAAGGGCTGTTTCGGGAGAAAAACAAATTTATTCCGGGAATCTCGAGATTTTTCCGAGAATCGGGAAACCTGGGAAATTTTTCGGGAAATATGAGATATTTTCGGGACATTGAGCAAAGATTTGATATTATATGTTATCAAACAATATATATACAGTGATATGCACCCAGTGTATGCACTGTATTCTATGTATTTTGACACTTGAAAATGGCTGAACTCCCCATGATATGAAAAGACCAATAAGCAACGTTTCCAACTAAAATAGCATGAAGTTCGAGTGCGATTGACCTCATGTAATCCCCCGCGGATTGACACAAGAACCGTATCGGTGCAAGGCACATACTATCAGTTCACACCAGATCCCATCATTTATTAGTTCAGGGGTATTTTACGCTGCACGTTAACGAGTTTTAAGAGCACATTCCACTGATTTCATACTGGAAAACTTGAAAGAAGTACGTAAGAATTATGTAAGAAAAAAACGAAACTCATTTAACCTTGTTAAACACAAATGAGGCCGTAAAAAGTAGTATGTCTGTAAAGACTCTTTAATCATCCTGATCTCGTTGGGGTCCTTCCGATTTTGCTTGAAAATCCCGAATCTCGATCAATATGCGTTCCGGATAGGAAAATTTCAGTTTTTGACAGTTGTTCTGAAATTTTTTAAATGAATTCTTATGATACTCATACAATGACACCACACAGAGTATACTTAGCTGAAAGTGATATCCAGAGCAATTTCAAAAACCGCACAACTTGTATGAAATAAAATGGACTACTTCTACACAAAGTCACGCCGGTGAAAATAAGCATATAAAGGACAATTGATTTAGAGAACATTTTGGACAGAATTTGTCCTCTCAGAACACTAGAAATGGCGCTTCAGAGCACCAAGATTTCAAAATTTTCTGGGGGAGCATGCCCCCAGACCACCCTAGTGGTTCGCCCCTTCACTGCTTGCCTGATTCATCGGTGATTGAAAAACAAAAAACACGATTTTATATACTTAAAAAGTTTGACAGTCTTTCTGTGTTAACATGATACCCTCTAAACGAAAAAATAACTAAGGTTAGATAATTAACAGGTTACATATAATTAACAAGAAGCTGCAAGAAATCTCTAATCAAAATTTTAATTTTAATTGTTAAAAAAATTTTGGGAAGTAAAACATTTATGGGGAATGCCACCGAAAAATTCGGGAGGGTAGACGAAATTTCCGGGAGGACATAAAGTTATTCATAGGGCTGACCAAACAGCCTTTGTTAGAGTTGTCACCCCCCGTGTTTGCGGTTTACCTGATGCTAAAGGTCTCTAGTAATTGCTCGAGTTGTCGTGAGCTTAACAATCCTGAGGACCTCTTCATATGAGCCCGGTTGACCGGGCTGGCCCGGTTTCCGAGATCTCGCCTTACCTCTAAATCCTTTGTAAAATTTTCGATGTGTTCATATGAGAGAGCGGGCTGGCTCGGTTCCCGAGATCTCAGTTTTTCCAACCGAGATCTCGGTAAGCGGGCTGGAAATTTTGCCATATGAACACTTCATCCCGGTTACCGGGATGAACGGCGGGATGAATTCTGGCGGTCCGGACGGCATCGTCTTGCATTGCTTGCTGTATTTTCCACATCATAAGCATCCCATTTAACTGCAGTGATACAGCTTTAATAGTTACCGATGGTAAGATGGGCCCGAAAGTTAAAATTTTTGTGTTTCGCTATGTTTGCTTTGTTTCCCAAATTTGGCTCCAGAACTCGTCCCCAGGATCTTTGACCTTTTCTCATCTCGGAAACCGGGCTGAAACTTCTCATATGAACCCAAGGCAAAATTCATCCCGGTAACCGAGCCAGCCCGGTCAACCGGGCTCATATGAAGAGGCCCTGAGTCGCCTGAGTGCATCCATAACTCAACAGTACACGATGAAAAGTTTACCATTTGTTTTATAAGGAAATAATTGGGAAACGTTTGAATTTGTTAAACGATAGTAAGGAAAAGAGGTGAGTGTTGCTGTTCTTGTTGCATCTCCGCGAGCTGTGCGGGCTAAGGCGTGAGCGGATGTTACTAAAACGGGGAACGGGGAGCGGGGAGCGGGGAGCGGGGAACGGGGAACGGAAGTCTGGGAACGAGCTGTCAGCGGAAACCTCCATAAAAATCCAATATGGCCGATGATCGATGATAGAGAACCGTTGAAACAAACTTAACCGATAACGGCGTTACTTTACTTGAACTATATGCTCATGAGGTGCTTGAAATAATACGGAGGTAATAACTTCATGACGTTTTTCACCTTTTTGCGTTTTACTAAACAATTATCCGTAGGAAACAAAATGTGCTCCAACAGCAGTTGAAAGAAGCCAATCGGGACAAAAACTCTCAAAGCACATGTACAGCCATATTTGGAACTCAAGCGAATCTATACTGAGTCTAGCCCACAAAGCAATTAACTACTTTTCCATGATAGATAACATACATCGAAGTAGTCAAGTAGCTTGTGCGCAAACTTCTTCTGTTTCCTTTGATAGAGATGACTGCTTTGAAAAATGTTATTGACCACGTCATCACATAATTAGTAAGACTACTTTAACAATCTGGTTCTGCTTTTAATATTATTAGATCTACTACACTGCAAGCATTCATGATATTGAAATGTTTCACTGATCCATGAAAATAAAATAATATCATTTTATTATTTTGTGAAACAATTTGTTTCAGGTCAGTTTGCCCAGTATAGACCAGTATAATGACCCTAATGGAACCTAATTCACCCATTTTCCTCACCCTAATCAGTAACTGCTTCAAAGTCGTACGGTGGCCATTTGTCTTTCTGCGAAATACCCCTGACGACCCTTTCCTGAATCAAAACCATTGGATGGCATTGAATGCAACATTCTCACTCACTGCAGATCCTCAATTAACCCCCCGCCCCCCTAAGAATGAGATCCCAAACCCCTCCCTTTTGAAGAAAAATGTCGTAAAATAATCAAAGTACCTCTTCATGGGCACGAAACGTTTGGTGCAATTCATACCATACAATATCGCTGTATCAAGTACTGTTCTCGGTGCAGGAGGAGGGGGTACTATAATGACCTAAACAGAGCCTGAAGCCTTTTTCAGGCTTCAGGTACATGAAAGGGAAGGGGTTTTTATAGTTGAAGTATATGAAAGGGACCAAAATGAGATCAGTCACAGATGCATTTTATGGATGTGAGAGACAAGAAAACCTGTTTTTGTAAAGATGGTGTATTTACAGCAGTTAAAAAGGGATGCAGCGTTCAAAATTAGGTATGTGAAAGGGGTACCATTTGTCACTAGAGGGTATACAAAAGGGGTACCTTTTCTGTCTAAAATGGTACATACAAGGGGTAAAGGGTTGGTCCCTGGGGCAAAGCCTCTTTGGTGAGTACTCCCCCCCCCCCTCCCCTCTGGGTTACTGTTACTCTAGTCTGATTCTTCTCTTTAATTTCTTTGATACTGTGCTTCATTA